TTGCTTCTCTTTGTTCTAAAGTTTTCATATGTTCTGTTAATTCACCAGTGTGGGATTTTTCCAGCTTCTTTATGTAGGCATTTAGTGCTATGAACTTTCCTCTTAACACTGCTTTCATTGTGTCCCATAAATTTGGGTATGTTGTGTGGTCATTTTCATTGAATTTTAAGAAGTCTTTAATTTCTCCCTTTATTTCTTCCTTGACCCATTGATGATTCAGGTGAGCAATTTTAATTTCCATGTGTTTGTGGGCTTTCTGGAATCAGTATTGCTGTTGACTTCTAGTTTTATACCATGATGTTCTGATAAGGTACATTGGGTTATTCCAATTTTTTTGTATTTGTTGAGGTTTGTTTTATTACTGAGTATGTGGTCAGTTTTTGAGAAGGTTCCATGAGGTGCTGAGAAGAAGGTATATTCTTTTCTGTTTGGATGGAATATTCTATAGATGTCTGTTAAGTCCATTTGAGTCATAACATCTGTTACTTTCCTTATTTCTCTGTTCATTTTTTGTCTGATTGACCTATCCAGTGGTGAGAGGGGGAGTGTTGAAGTGTGTGTGGTTTAACGTATGATTTAAGCTTTAGAAATATTTCTTTGACATATGAGGGTACCCTTGTATTTGGGGCATAAATGTTCAGTATTGAGATTTCCTCTTGATAGATGTTTCCTGTTACTAATATAAAATGATATTCCTTGTCTCCTTTCACTGATTTAAGCTTGAAGTCTATTTTGTTAGATATTAGGATACCTATACCCACTTGTTTCTTAGGCCCATTGGTTTATTTTTTTTTCCAACCCTTTACTCTGAGACGATGTCTGTCTTTGAGGTTGAGATGTGTTTCTTGTATACAGAAGAAGAATGGATTCTGTTTTTGTATCCAATCTGTTTGCCTGTGCCTTTTTATAGGTGAATTGAGTCTATTTATATTAAGGGATATTAATCACCAGTGATTTCTATCTTCTGTTAATGTAGTTTTCACTGTTGGTGATTTTAATTAATGCATTTTTCCCTTCTTTGGGATTTGCTGCTTTGAGACCATCAGTTGTCTGTGTTTTGCAGCCATCTTCCTTGGGTTGGAGTTTTCTTTCTAGTATTTTGTGTAGGGCTGGGTTTGTGGCTAGGTATTGGTGAAATCTAAATTTGTCATGGAATATGTTGTTTTGACCTTCTATGGTGATTGACAGTTTTGCTGGGTATAGTAGTCTGGGCTGGCACCCATGGTGTCTTAACATCTGCATAATGCTTGACCACAACTTTCTGGATTTCATTGTTTCCAATGAGAAGTCCGGTGTAATTCTGATATGTTTACCTTAATATGTTACTTGTCCTTTTTTCTTTGCAGCTTTTAATATTCTTTTTTTACTCTGTATGCTTAGTGTTTTGATTATTATGTGGCAAGAGGACTTTTTATTTGGATCCAGTCTATTTCGTGTTCTGTAAGCTTCTTGTATTTTCATAGATATATCTCTCCTTAGGTTGGAAAAGTTTTCTTCTAGGATTTTATTAAATTTATTTTCTGTGCCTTTGAGTTGAACTTCTTCTATACCTATTAGATTTGGCCTTTTCATGGTGTCCCATAGTTCCTGGATATTTTGGGTTAAGCTCTTGTTAGATTTAATGTTTTCTTTAACTGATGAGTCTATTTCCTCTATTGTATCTTCAGCGCTTGAGATTCTCTTCCATTTCTTGTATTCTGTTCATGCTTGCATTTGTGGTTCCTGATTGTTTTCTCATTTCTGTTTCTATAATTCCCTCAGTTTGTGTTTTCTTTATTGCCTCTATTTCAGTTTTCAAGTCCTGAATAGTTTCTTTCATATGTTTGATTTCTTTTTCTTGGTTTTCTTTAAGTAATTTGCTGACATCTTCCAATTTTTGTTTATCTTTTCCTCCATTTCTTTAAGGGAATTTCTCATTTCCTCTTTTAGAGTTTCAAACATTTTCTTGAAGTTATTTTTTAGGTCATTTTCTTCTTCATATTTGGTTGTTCGGGTATTGCTGTTGTAGGTCTTTAGGTTTTACTGGTGTTGTGTTTCTCTTTGCTATGTCACTTATGTTCTTACCTTTTCTACTCATCTTTTTGCTAATAGGTGTGGTTGGGGCTGTCTGAGATTCTGTTGTATAATCTAGGTTCCAGTGAATCCAAAGCTCAGGTGGTTGTTCCTTGTGGTATAGTCAGTGTCACAGTTCTAGTTACCCTGCTGGTTACTCTACTCTTGGAGATAGCGCTCCCGTGCTTTGTTCTGCTCCCTTAGAGTTTGCTGTATCAGGCCTACTTTGACCTAGGTTGCTGGCTTTGCCCTGTTTCTGTAAATTCTGGTCTGGAACCCCTCCTGCAGAAGTCCCTGGGTTGCAGTTGAACGTGGAAAGGTTTCTGGCTCCAATCTACTGCCTTGGAGGTCCCAGGCTTGGGTACGTCTGGAATCACAGAGGACCTGCTTACTCCCTCAGAGGTCCCAGACTTACGACGCTAGGACCCACAGAGGTCCTGGCTCAGGCCTACTCCCTCCGAGTACCCAGACTCACGCCTGGCCCCACCGAGATCTCTGCATATTCCATCGGAGGTCCCAGGTTCACTCACGCCCAGACTAGCAGAGGTCATGGCTCAGGCCTAGTTCCTAGGAGGTCCTAGACTCACGCCCAGATCCACCAGGGTCCTGGATTAGGTCTACTCCCTTGAAGGTTGCAGATTCACATCGGGACCCTACGTGGTCTCTGGCTCTGGCTCACTCACTCAGCTGTTACTCCCCTGTACCTGTTCTGGTGGAGATAGCTGATTCTGGATCTGGTTGCTGGCTCAGTCCTGGTCTGCCAGTGTCCTGGGACTGGGTTGGCTCCCAGGACTGAATTTGCTCCTGGCTTCTGCTCCTGGTGAAGCTTGTTCTGTCCTAGGTAGCTCATTCAGAGCCACTCCTGTGGAATTTGTTGCCCAAGGTGGAGTTCCTTGCCTCAGAGCAAATGTGGCCTAGGTTATCAGCTTTGACCAGAATCTGTAAGTGCTGGCCTGGATTCACTTCTACAGAAGTCCCTGGGTTGGAGCTGGATGTGGAAAGGTTTCTGGCTCCTGTCTACTGCCTCGGATGTCCCAGGCTCGGGTACACCCGGACCCACAGAGGACCTGCTTACTCGTAACTTCAGAGGTTCCAGACTCACACTCAGACTCGCAGAGGTTCCAGGTTCCTGCCTATTCCCTTTGATGTACCAGACCAATGCCCTGACCCACAGAAGTCTTGGCACAGGCCTACTCTCTCTCTGGGCCCAGACTCACACCTGGCCCAGCCAAGATCTCTGATTCCTGCCTATTCCCTTAGAGATCCCAGGTTCACTCACATCCAGACCCATCATGGCCCTGGCTTAGGCCTACTCCCTTGAAGGTCCCAGATTCACATCCGGATCCTCAGCGGTCTCTGGCTCTGGATCACTTGCTCAGCGGTTATTCCCCTGTATCTGTTCCGGTGGAGATCACTGACTCGGGGTCATTTCGCTGGCTCAGTCCTCATCCGCCAGTGTCTCAGGACTGGATTTGCTCCTGGCTTCTGCTCCTGGTGGAGCTTGTTAGCTCTCTGTCCTAGGTAGCTGGTTCAATCCCACTCCAGTTCTGGTAGAGATCACTGACTCGGGGTCATTTCGCTGGCTCAGTCCTGATCCGCCAGTGTCCCAGATTTGCTCCTGGCTTCTGCTCCTGGTGGAGCTTGTTAGCTCTCTGTCCTAGGTAGCTGGTTCAATCCCACTCCAGTTCTGGTGGAGATCACTGATTCTGGGTCATTTCGCTGGCTCAATCCTGGTCTGCCAGTGTCCCAGGACTGGGTTGGCTTCCAGGACTGGATTTGCTCCTGGCTTCTGCTCCCAGTGGAGCTTGTCTCCTCAGGTCCTCTCTGTCCTAGGTAGCTCATTCAGAGCCACTCCTGTGGAATTTGTTGCCCAAGGTGGAGTTCCTTGCCTCAGAGCAAAGATGGCCTAGGTTACCTGCTTTGACCTGTATCTGTAAATCATGGTTTGAATTTCCTGCTGCAGGAGTCCCTGGGTTGGAGCTGGATGTGGAAAGGTTTCTGGCTCCTGTCTACTGCCTCAGGTGCACCTGGACCTGCAGAGGACCTGCTTACTCCTTCAGAGGTCCCAGACTCATGCTAGGACCCAGGTTCCTATTCCCTTGGATGTCCACAGAGGTCCTGGCTCAGCCCTACTCTCTCTGAGTACCCAGACTCATGCCTGTCCCCACCAAGATCTCTGGTTCCTGCCTGTTCCCTTGGAGGTCCCAGGTTCACTTTCGTCCAGACTGGCAGAGGTCATGGCTCAGGCCTAGTTCCTGGGAAGTACTAGACTCATGCCCAGACCCACCGGGGTCCTGGCTTAGGTCTACTCCCTTGAAGGTCCCAGATTCACGTCCGGACCCTCAGCAGTCTCTGGCTCTAGCTTCCTAGCTCAGCGCTTAGTCCCCTGTACCTGTTCCAGTGGAGATTGCTGAGTTTGGGTCAGATTACAGGCTCAGTCCTGATCCGCCAGTGTCCCAGGACTGGATTTGCTTCTGGCTTCTGCTCCCGGTGGAGCTTCTAACTTTTAAATGAGACAAAATTAGTGTTGCCATTAGTGTGGGTCCATTAATGGCCTGTCTCTGATAAATCTCATGTCCCATTCCATTGGAATTTATTTCATGTTTTATTTCTGAAAATACATTTTTCTCTATTTCTTTTTTTAATGCACAAGAAGACATAAAGGAAAATTCTGTAGTAACAGAAAGGGAGTCCAAAATTGCTAGTTATTCTTGCCCAAGTAAACCAGTACACATGTTTCCCTTAAGAAAGATGCCTGTCAAAGTGGAACTGTTGGATAAGAGAAAGGCCTCCTGTATTTAGGAAGTTTTGTAGGCCGGGGCAAACTAACGAACTCTCGGCTTTTACTGACGTGTAAGTCTCCAGTCTCCATATGTGTATGTTCCTGTGTGTGTGCAAGCTATTTTAAGTGTCTGCTATTTCTCCTTTTGAACTTACTGCTCACCTAGGAACCCTACAGCACTCGCCCGTGGGACCCGCCGGGCCTGCATCAATTGAGCGAGTTCAAGGTATCCATTGTATCTGCGGGTTTCCTTTTGCTTGTGGTGTTCAGGGTGGGATGTTGAAAGGAAAGGAGCTGCTTGGCAGTCATCCTCACATTCAGAACCCCAAAAGGGTAGTGTTTTGGGGTATTTTTTCTTTTTTGTTAGTTTTGTGGCTTTTTTTTTCTCTTGGGGCCACAAGCCTAAGATTGAGCTCTTCACACAGGGCAGAGAACATGGATGATATGGGCATCTGTCCAGAGATCTCCTCCCTCCCTACTGGCGTCAGGAGGCTTGGCTGGAATAGTAGTCTGTAGGGAGACAGCAGGTTCCTGCAGAGCCATGGCAGGGTTCCTATGCCAAGAACCTACCTTTCTTTTGTGACTCTGGTTCTTAACTTAAGATTGATTAGAAGAAAAACCAGGATCATAAGTTTATTCAGGTTACAGTGCTAGTCCTTGACAGGTGGCTTCCCAGTTTGTTCTTTATATAATTCCATCCATACCTCTAAAATGGCACTGCTTCTGTCCTTGAGCTGCAAGAGGATTCTGCTGTGGTGAGGTTTCACCCACTCTAAGGTGTCTGAATTACGTTGTCAGCGGTATAGAGTCATTTCTTGTCTCCTAATGTGTCTTTCACAGCAGTAACTCCATGTTTGTTTCCCTGCCAGTGCCAATGCAAGACCCCAGAGCAGCTATGCAGCGGGGAGCCTTGCCTGCCAATGTCCCAACTCCTCGTGGTCTGTTAGGAGATGCCCCCAATGACCCACGGGGCGGCACTTTAATGTCTGTAACTGGAGAGGTAGAGCCTAGGTAAGTACTCATGTAGAAGGAAACACCTTGAGAAGTTGAAAAGTTTCCTTACATTGAAAGCAAATGGTCGGACCTGTTTGCTTACTTCAAAAGATAAATAAGATTTGTAACCACTGTCTAAAAGTAAGCACTTTTCCGAAAACATAATCGTATAGCTAAGAAGGTAACTTTGAAGCTGGGTGATGGTAGTGCATGCCTTTAATTGCAGCACTCGGGAGGCAGAGACAGGCAGATCTCTGTGAGTTTGAGGACAGCTTGGTCTACAAGAACGAGTTCCAGGACAGGCTCCAAAGCTACAAAAAACCCTCTTAAAAAAAGAAAAAGAAGATAACTTTGAGCCAACAATGACTGTTGTATTTTCAGAAATTGAAAATTATAGTAATAATACCTAAACAAGGAAAACGTGAGGTAATGGTACTATTAATGACAATAGTTGTTGATGTTGGTGGGGATCACACCTCTAGCTTTTCTCTAAGTACTTAAATCACCTCATTATATCTACCTTAGGCCGGGGGTGTAACTCCCAGGGTAAGAGCACTTGCCTAACATTTCCAATGCCCTAGGTTCAATCCTCAGCCCCACAAAGATAGAGAGACAAATCCATATAACCTTAGAAATGACTATTCTTAGTCCTATTTTACAGGTAAAGAAACCAGGGCATATAGTGGTTAAGGTACTGACCCAGATCACATAGCTAATAAATGGTAAGACCTAGATTTCAGCCATTTATTCTGAATCCAGAATCTGCATTGCTAAGCAGTCTACTGCATATTCATTGTACTTATAGTAAGTGTCTATTAATTCTTTACTAATTTTGAATGCCCTGATCAAATAAGAAATTCCAGAATGCATAGATTTACATTCTATAGATTTCTTTTATCTGTGTGATGTTACTTCGTTACCATTTATTTACTGATATTTGTATTAGTTTTCTGTTGGATGTTTGCATACTGATCTGATTGACATTTCAATGTTGGTACATTCTGCTTTAAAATATGTCACTTCTCTCCATCTCTAGAGCTTACTTGGGACCCCCACCACCACCTCATCAGGGCCCACCCATGCACCATGTTCCTGGCCATGAAGGCCGTGGACCACCGCCACATGACATGAGGGGAGGTCCATTAGCTGAGCCCAGACCTTTAATGGCAGAGCCAAGAGGACCCATGATAGATCAGAGGGGTCCACCCATGGATGCTAGAGGTAAGGGGAAACTATCACAACTCCAACTAATAGCCGTGGTTGGTGAAGAATTTGACTCTCTTCAGCTCTAATATGGGACAGAAGTTTTGGGAAAGAGTTTTTACGATTTACCTACAAATCTGATAAACTAGAAAGGAGACAGTGTCACAGACAAGGAGAGATGTGACTAGAAGTTAGTAGCTATACTAACTGGTTTTCTTACAACTTTCTAGGTGGAAGAGATCCCCGAGGATTAGATGCACGAGGGTTGGAGGCCAGAGCCATGGAGGCCAGAGGACTGGATGCCAGAGGACTGGAGGCCCGTGCCATGGAGGCCCGTGCCATGGAAGCCCGTGCCATGGAAGCCCGTGCCATGGAGGCCCGTGCCATGGAAGCCCGTGCCATGGAGGCCAGAGGCATGGATACCAGAGGCCCGGTACCTGGACCTAGAGGACCTATACCTAGTGGAATCCAAGGTCCCAATCCAATGAACATGGGGGCTGTCGTTCCCCAGGGATCAAGACAGGTAATACTTGTAGCATCTACATAAAATCTTAATGTATTTGGGGATTTGTTACTGAGCCTGATTTTTGTTGTCTTCTGACTTGAATGAATTTGCTTGTTAGAAAGGAGAGAATAGGCTCTCCTTTTCCTTTCTCATATCCCTTAGGAGAAGGGTGACTAGCCTCTAATACTTAACCCAAAAGAACAACCTTGTTTCACAATTTTAGTGGCTATTTCATTCAGAAAAACCTCTAAAAATGAAAATGTACAGGGCAGGGAGTACTCTGCACTAAGTATATAAACCATCAATATGTACAAAGTCCCCCCACCAAATACTTGTGCAGATCTTAGGCCATTTGAAAAACCTCCCCCAAATGATTACCATGTACAACCTGAACTAGAGCATTTGAGGAGTTGCATTCATTTAGATTATCTCGGGGTGGCAGAGACCTGTGTGAATCTATTGTCATCAAAGCATCTAAATAAACAGTGGTATAGGAAAGGTCATCTGCATATAATTCTGGAACTGCAGTCTGTCGCTTTTCTGTCTCCTTCACTTGGCTCACTTCAGCTGTATGTATGGGATGCTTTAGAAGTCACCTCATTTTTATCATTTCCAGTTGATTGTGGGAAGATGGAATGTGTGTATCTTCTCAAGTTTCTATATGTTGGTGCCTTCGTTTTTCATTTCTTTCTTCCCATTTTCATGTGCTTCTGTGTCTTCCAGTGTATTTGGGGATTGGGAGAGAAAGAAGAGAGGAAAATATCAAAACTAGAATGCAACATGTCTGGTGTCTAGTTCTCTGATTTTATAGGTTTGGAAGGTGAAGGCCAGAAGTTGCAGAATGAGCAGGCTGCTTGTTCGTCCCAACCACCCAGCTTGCTTAGTCCCAAAATAACGACACAGAAATTGTATTAATTAAATCACTGCTTGGTTCATTAGTTCTAGCCTCTTATTGGCTAACTCTCACATCTTGATTTAACCCATATCTATTCATCTGTATATCGCCACGTATCAGTGGCTTACCGGCAAGATTCTAACGGGTGTCCATCTCAGGCAGAGGATCCTTGGCATCTCTCTGACTCTGCTTTCTTCCTCCCAGCATTGTTTAATTTTCTCCGCCTACCTAAGTCTGGTGACTTGGCCAAATTCACCTAACTTAAAAAATAACGGAGCAAGAAATACAGCTTGCTGGTCTATTCTGCTTCTCTGTCTTACTTGCCATCTATATATGTGTCTCTGTGTGTGGGTGTTTGCCTGATCCTCCCTAATTTGAGATAAAAATGTGGCTTTTTTTTGGTATATATAGAATAAAAATTTATTTTCTTTTGTATTTCAGGTTTTGCTTTTAAAAATGTGTTTGTGGGCTTTGATTTTTGTTGCATGCTCTATGGTCAATAGCCTCATAACACCTTTTTATACATCTTTTCAATACTTATTGAGCATCTACTGAATACAATCATAGTACTAGGGATATAGTAGTATGAACATCAAAGTCTTGACATACTAGCTCAGGAAAGAGGTACCAAGTTACTATACACTGTGCTTATGTAATTCTACTGACCATTCTGTGGAGAAAGACATTGAAAATGATGGCTGATGTCTTGCTCCTTCTTCTGTTAGTGTTTGAATTCATTACTTTCTAATGCTAGAGTTTTTTATTTGATTTTGTGATGCTAAGACTCAACCTAGAACCTTACAAATGCTAAATAATTTACCCCTGAGCTATACCCCCAGCCCAATATAGTTTTTATTAAAAGTCTGTAAAGTCAGTTAGATCCAAGGTAGAGAAAATAAGAACTTAAAATTGATACATTTTTTACATTTTTAGCAATATAGTCAATAATTATATAAATAATACATCCCAGCCATCTATAAAAGTGTTATGTTAGGAACCTCAACTTCCTCTTCTGTATCTTTCACTTGTGATAGACAATTGCCTTTATTAGATTTTTTTTTTGAGACAAAGTCTTTTCATGTAGCCCTGGCTGACCTGAAACTCCCTATATATACTGGGCTGGCCTTGAACTCACTGAGATTTGCCTGCCCCTGTCTCAGGAGTGCTGGAGTTGAAGGCATGCACCACCATATTTTGCTCATCTGATATTTTTAGTGTAGCTTTCTACTGTTATCCTTTTTGTGATCTTTGTTTTTTTTTTTTTAACTTAATATGGCCTTCATATCCCTTTAAATTAGATTTTAAATTTAACTCCAGTCCACACAGTTAGAAGTGTGTAGCTAAAAGGCTTGTTGTTATAGGGTGGTTATATAATTTGTCATACAAAGAAGAAAACATTCAAGAATGAAAGTGTTAATAATTTACCCTGAGGGGAAAAAACATAAACTGGGATTGTCTTAGGCCAACCAAGGTATTTGACCAGTCGTACTAGTATTTATCTACCTAGTACAGATATTCCTAGAAACTTCAACTGGCCATTTGGGGTAGTTATTTCATACTACAGTGTCTCAGATTGGTATAAATCAGTATTAATAAATTCCTAAGTGACTGTACCCAGAGGTTGTTCATATCCATAATTATTAAGGTTTATGCAAGTCCCTGAACTAAGTATTAATATAGATAGCATCCTTTATGTGCCATTGCTTCATGTCCCCAGTGTCTGAGAAAAGAGCTGATGCATGAGAGTATTTCAGATGTCTTAGTTACTGTTGCTGTGAAGAAACACAATGAAAATGGCAACTCTTTTTTTATTTAAATAACATTTTTTTCATTTATTTTACATCCCAACCAGTTTCCCCTTCCTCCTTTTGTCCTGTCCCCCTTTCCCATCTCCCCTCCCTATGCACTCCTCCATCTCCATTCAGAAAGGGACAGGGGACAATGGCAACTCTTACAAGAGATAGCATTTAATTGGCTTGCTTACAGTTTCAGAGTTTTAGTTCCATTATCATGGTGGGAAGCATGACAGCATGTAGAAAGAGCTGCGGGCAGGCCTGCTTTTTGCCCCACCCAGCTCCCACATGGCTAGCTTTACACCCGAAATAACAACACACAAACTGTATTCATTTAAACACTGCCTGGCCCATTATATCTAGCCTCTTACTGGCTAACTCTCATATCTTGATTAACCCATTTCTATTGTGTGTAGCACCACAAGGTGGTGTCTTACCATGAAGATTCTAACCTACGTCCATCTTGGGCCAGAGCTTCATCATATGTGCCTCACTGCCTTCTTCCTCCCAGCATTCTGTTCTGTCTTCCCCGCCTACCTATGTTCTGACCTATCAGGCCAAACAGTTTTCTTTATTAATTAACCAATGAAAGCAACAGATAGAAGACCCACCTACATCAACAGCAGGCAAGGCATGCATGGTGCTGGAGAAATAGATGAGAGCTACATCCTGATCTATAAGCAGAAAGGGAGATACTGGGCTTGGCATGGGTGTTTGAAACCTCAAAGCCTATCTCCCAGTAACCTGCTTCCTAAACCTTTGAAATAGTGCAACTCCCTGGTAAATAAGCATTCAACCATGTGAGTCTGTGGGGCCATTTTTACTCATACCACCACATTTGACTCCCTGGCTCTGATTGACTTATAGCTATATCATAACACAAAAATGCATTCTACCACCACCTGGCTCCAACTTCAAAAGTCACCATATTCCATCACAGTCTCAATACTGTCCAAAAGTTCAAAGTCTCATCTGAGACTCATGACAATCTCTTAACTATAAACTCATAAAATAAAAATAAAAGGTCAATCACACAGTTCCAACATACACTGACACATTACCATTTCAAAAGGGAGGAAAGGAAGCATAGTAAGAAAATACTGGACCAAAGCAAGACTGAAAATCAGCTGGGCAAACTCCAAACTCTGGATCTTCATGTCTGATGTCAAAATGCTCTTCAGATCTCCAACTCCTTTCCACTTTGTTAACTGCAGCACATTTCTCTCTTGGGCTGGATCCATACCCAATCTGCAACTTTTTTTTTTTTTTTGGCAGATATCCCATGACTCTGGCATCTCTAACATCTTAGGAGTCTCCAGTGAAATCTAGGCTTTACTTTCACAGTTTCACACAATGGCCTCTCTATGTCACCATACAAGGACACCTTAACACATGCCTGGCCTCAGCAGCTTTACTTAGCCTCAGAGGGATATTCCACAACCCCATTTTTGTATCATTGACTCTAAAGCCAGAACTCCTTTTGGGCTAGGTGCCAAGTTGTACTGCTTGATGGGGTGGCTTGAATTAGGCGTCCTTGTTCATAATAGACATTTGCATCAGCCTTTGATGTTGATGGCTTCCTTTACTGCTTAAGATTTTCTTCTTTTTCACTAATTGAAGCTTAGATGGGTGGGGTCTTGCTCTGAGGTCACCACTCCTTTTATTCCATTTAGCATCAGGCTTTTCTTAAACTTTTATCTCCTTGAGCACTGAACTTTTGTTCTGTTGCACTTCCTGGTCCTTCTTTTCTCCTCAAACTGTACATTTCATATTTTTCCTTGCTCAGCTTGTTTCTTTTCTTTATATATCTGAATAAGAGGGGCCACAAGACATAGTCAATATTTGGCAGTCTTGAAATCTCTGCTAGTGCCATTAATCTAAAACTGTTCAATTTAGCCTCATGCATATTTTTAACACTCAGGCAAAAACAGCTACATTCTTTGCCAAAATGCTGCAATGGTCCCTAGGCCACTTACTAATATCCTTCCCATCTGAAACTTTTTGAGCTGGGTTCAAATCACCCTTAGCACTATTGTCACTGTTCTGCTAAGATAGCCCATTGAGCCCTACTTAAACCATTCAACCTCTTTTCTTCCCTCCTTCCCTTCCTCCCTCCCTTCCTTTCTTTTCTTTTCTTTTTCCTTCCTTTTTTGGGGAGAGGAGTGGGGTTTTTTTTGGGGGGGGGGTTTCGAGACAGGGTTTCTCTGTAGCTTTTGGAACCTGTCCTGGAACTAGCTCTTGTAGACCAGGCTGGCCTCATACTCAGAGATCTGCCTGCCTCTGCCTCTCAAGTGCTGGAATTAAAGGTGTGCGCCACCACCGCCTGCCCCCCCCTTTTCATTTTTTTAAAGATTTACTTATTTTTATTACGAATGCAGTGGTCATAATAAAAATAAATAGATGAATATTTTATTATGTTTATTTTTATTATGAATAGTGTTCTGTCTGCATGTATGCCTGCAAGCCAGAGAAGTTGCCAGATCTCATTATAGATGGTTGCTGGGAATTGAACTCAAGACCTCTGGAAGGACAGCCAGTGCTCTTAACCACTAAGCCATCTCTCCGGCCCCCAACCCCTTTTCTAGTTCAGAGGCTTCCATATTCCACCAACAAACAGCCTGCTGTTGAAATAAGAGCGGCGGGGCTGCGTCCCCAGCACCCCAGCCACCTGCTAGCTTGTGCCCGAAATAACAGCACACAAACTATTCATTTAAAGACTGCTTGGCCCATTTCTATCTAGCCTCTTCTAGGCTAATTCTCACATATTAATTTAGCCCATTTCTAATAATGTGTGTAAGCACCCCAAGGTGCGCTTACCAGGAAGATTCTAGCCTACATCCATCCTGGGTCTGAGCTTCATCGCATCTGCCTCAGAGCGCAGGGCTATCGCGTCTACCCTGGAGAGCTGAGCATGGCGTCTCTGCTCCAGAGAGCAGAGCTGTCGGGTCTCTCTGGGAGCAGAGCAGAGTCTGAGCTCACTTCCTCTTCCTCCCAGCATCCTATTCTGTTTACTCCTCCCACCTATGTTTTAACATATCAAGGCCAAGGAATTTCTTTATTGCTTAACCAATGAAATCAACAGATTGATATATGACACTCCCACATCAGCCTGCTACAGCAGTACCCCAGTCCCTGGTACCAAGTTATGTCATAGTCACTTTTATATTACTGTGAAGAGACACAATGACCACAACAACCTCCCCTTATTTTTTCTTTTGAGCCTGCCCTGGAACTTGCTCTGTAGACCAGGCTGACCTCGAACTCACAGAGATTTGCCTGCCTCTGCCTCCAGAGTGCTGGAATTAAAGAAGTGAGCTATCACTACCCAACATGACCACAACAGGTCTTAGCTGGCTTACAGTTTGGGAAGTTTAGCCCCATTATTTTCATGGTGGGAAGCATGGCAGTATACATGCAATGCATGGTGCTGGAGAAGTAGATGAGAGCTACATCCTGATCCAAAGGCAGAGGGAGATACTGAGTTTAACATGAACTTTTGAAACCTCAAAGCTCCCTACCTGCAGTGATACACTTCCTCCAACAATGCCACACATCTTAATCCTTTCAAATAGTGCCATTCCATGGTGAGTAAGCATTCAAATATATGAGCCCGTGAGGACCATTCTTATTCAAACCACCATACCAGATGAAGAACTATTCTAAAAGTTGTTTGAGCTGTTTTAGTGAAAAAGGATGGACTGTGAATGTATTTTTTCCTCTTTTTAAATTTACTTTTAATGTAAATTTTATTGTGTTGTCCTTGATGTTTTTATTATTATTAAAAATTTCCGCCTCCTCCCCACCTCTCTTTCCCCCCCCTCCCCACTCCCCACTCCTCTCCCTCTCCCTCTCCAGTCTGAAGGGCAGTCAGGGTTCCCTGCCCTGTGGGAAGTCCAAAGTCCTCCCCCCTCCATCCAGGTCTAGGAAGGTGAGCATCCAACCAGGCTAGGCTCCCACAAAGCCAGTACATGCAGGAGGATCAAAACCCAGTGCCATTGTCCTTGGCTTCTCAGCAGCCCTCATTGTCCACCATAGCAACCCTTCACCAGCACAACTCTCTGAATGTATTTTATGCTTCCTATTTTCTTAAGTAAATTGCAAAAATACTTAAATCATTTTTGATTATTAAAAATCAACATGGAAATAGATCTGTTATTATTTATAACATAGTTTTTTTATCCTGTAGTGTATCTGCCCCTTTTACTGATGGACTATCACCTGGTTCTTCACATTGTTACATCTATTCCTGACACATGTTTCTGTATATTTCTTCTATACTTCCCTGGTTATAATCTGAGAAAGCAGGTAACAAATTTGTTAAAAATTTATATGCAATAAAAATATCTAATAGTCGAGCAGTGGTCACACACGCCTTTAATCCCAGCATTCGGGAGGCAGAGGCAGGCGGACCTCTGAGTTTGAGGCCAGCCTGGTCTATAAAAGCTAGTTCCAGGACAGCCAGACATATATAGAGAAACCTTGTCTTGAAAATAACCAGAAAAAAGAACCTAAACTCTGCTTAAGAGCCTGAGTGTGAGCATCATACACATGTAAAGCACATCTAATTAGTTATAGTAGGTGCATAGAGGTATTTTCCTTGGGTTTTGGTTGTCTTCCAAAGGATTGGGCTCACTAACCATTCCAAATGCCAATAAGTATGCTATTAACTGTGTTTTGTTATAACTTGAGTAATAATTTTTTTGGTTTGTATTAAGCAGGACACAATTGCAAATTACTTTATATAGAAAGCTCTACGAAAAACAAGGGCTGGAGAGATAGCTCAGTGGTTAAAAGCACTTGGTATTGTATGGGACCTGGTTTGGTTCTTAGCACCCATATAGATGGATCATAACCTTCTGTGATTCCAGTTCCAGAGGATCCAGCACCCTCTTCTGGCCTCCATGGGGACTAGGCATACATGTAGTACACAGATATACATGCAGGCAAAAAACTCATACACATAAAATAAAAATAAGTGAGCCAGGCAATGTTGGCACACGCCTTTAATCTCAGCACTCAGGAGGCAGACACAGGTGGATCTCTGTGAGTTTGAGGCCAGTCTAGTCTCCAGAGGGAGTTCCAGGACAGGCTCCAAAGCTACAGAAAAACACTGCTTGAAAAAAAAAAATAAAGGAAGAAGAGGCTTAAAAAAATTCACACTACCATTAGTTATCTGAGCATTAAAAGGGATATTCATAGTTTTTGCTTTTAAGAAATCTCTAAAAGGCAAGTATTGGGCTAATATTCTTTTTTCCCCAGAGACCTTCCTATCTCCTTTCTGTCTCCATCTGTTTTATTGAATAGAGCCCTTTGAAAATAACTACTAGTGTTTACTTGAAATAGAGGTAGGCAGTAGTCTTGTGAACATCACTTCCCAGAATACAGTTATGTAAAGTCTGCTGGCTTCACTTGTGTTTACTCTGAGCATTAATTTCTCAAGTGCTCATAGTTTTCCCTATGCTTATTTGGCTAAATTTTGCTCATTTAATGTCCCCTTCCTGCAGTGTGTATTATTTGTTATGATGATGGACCTGTAATATGCAAGAATGTGTATGCTAGTAGGTCTTTGATTAAACACTAACTTCTGATTTTGCTAACAGTATAAGCTGATCTTTAGATCATTAATTCTCTTTACACTCTTACCTGTGTCAAGATTGGTACTGTATTGAGGTTCCATGGACATCAGGAATTCTGTATGCTGTCTTCTTTCTTTCTACCTATAGGTCCCAGTCATGCAGGGAGCAGGCATTCAAGCAGCAAGCATGCAAGGTGGAAACCAACCTGGTGGCTTTAGTCCTGGACAGAGCCAAGTCACACCCCAGGATCATGAGAAGGTAAGCAACACTGTCTTACTGCCTCCCGGTGCACAAATCTAGTATTTTTGATCTTTTCACAGTTACCATGAAGATCCTGGGTCTTCAAAGTCCCTTTGGAAGTGATGTTTACTCTAACTTAGGACTCTAATGATCTTGACTGAGCATTTTGGGGACCTGAACCTTAAGTTTTTAAGTGAATATAATTGACAACTTATTTTACGTTTCAGACTAATTTATAAATGTCAATTGTTTTTATGTGCAAGCCAAACTGACCTAAAAGTCCAAGCTCCTTTATGCCTCCCCTTTCTACCGATACTTAAACAAAATAGCAGATTCACCACAAGTATATTTTTCTGTTGTTATACTTGGCTATTGTTGGGAGCTTGTGTCTGATAGGAAGGATTAAACTTGTGAAAGGGGAAACTCAAAACAGTACTCACAGATACCATCTTAGTATGCAGGAACTTTGAGTTCCTGGAGCATCTCTTCACACCATCTAATCTTAGGTATTTTCATTTAATCTTGTGCTTCACTGTGTCTTTTCTCACCATTTTCTTTATTTTGGCTTGCAGTGGGGGAGGGGGGGAATATCTTCCCTTTTCCCATTTTGCTTCATAGCCTATGACAGTTTTTTTAGACAGAAGCTGGTGGGGTATTTTGGGTTTTTTTTTTTTTTTTTTTTTCTGGTTTTTTTTTTTTTTTTTTTTTTTGGTTTTCTGACACATCATTGAAACTCACAATCTTGCTCTCCTCTGCACAGGCTGCTTTGATTATGCAGGTCCTTCAACTCACTGCAGACCAGATTGCCATGCTGCCTCCTGAGCAGAGGCAGAGTATCCTAATCTTAAAGGAACAGATACAGAAATCCACTGGGGCACCTTAAAAGGTGAGCTGACTGAATGGTACCTGGGCAGAACTAGGTCCTTCTGTATTTGAAGTGCGTAACTTTAACCTTTAACAATGTAATGTTCTCTGAGGCCCTGATCTTCACTAGGTCGTCTTGACCCTTCAGTAGTCAGCACCTTTGGGTATAGGGTAAGGCTGCAGAACATTTGTTTAGTTGTTTAATTATTTTCAGCCTTTGCTGATGATGAAATTAATATAGGATTTTATTCCGAACCATTCCTTCAAAATGGAGGAAATACAAAGTATTTCAATAAAATGTTACTCTAATGTTTGTTTTGGAATGTGTGTCTCTGTGTCCATGTGTGTCCAGGTCTCATATAGCCCAGTCTAGCCTTGAACTCCTTATGTAGCTGATGATGACTTTGAACTTCCGGTCTTCCTGCTACCACTTTCCATTGTGCTAAGATGACAAGCATGCAGTACGGCACCCTGCTTTTGAGATACTGGAGATCAAACTTGGGATTCATGTATTCAAGGCATGCACTATGCCAGCCGAGCTATGTCCCAGCCCTTGTAATGAATATTTTGATGGTTGACTAATACAAGCCATCTAAAGTAGTAGATGTCCCTGTCAGCACCAGTTTCTTTACATTTTAAAGAAGAGTGTATAGTACCATTATCTTTCTTGTTCATCCATCATGTAAGAAGAATCTTAAGTGCATTTTCCTCATAAATAACCATATGACCAAACTTGCTATATAAATATTGTTTTGTTTTCAAAACTCCCATCTTTGTATTTCATAAACAATTCCATTCTCTGAAAGCAGTTTTACTTTCATATTGTCCTAATACCTGTTGGAATGTCTTTGGAATTTTTACATTTTAACCTCACATGTCTTATAATTCTCATGCACAGGCTTACATATAACAGTGAACTCATTTATGATAATAGCAGTCTTACTATACTGTAGTCTGCATTTGTAGTGCTTTCAAAACTTCCAAAATGCGAATATGCATCGTATCTACTGAGACTTTAAATGACTGTACCAAAACTGGGAGTGATTGTAGATGGTTGGAAACTAGATTTTTAATATATTGTACTTTACCTTTGTTTCCATATATCCCAAACATCCTATTTTCTTCATTAAAAATATGGACTACAATCATAGTAATTTACTATTACAAATTATGTCAGAAAAGGCATTCTCTGTGGTTTGAGAAAATTACTGGTTTTAGAGTGTGGGAGAGCCGGGCGATGGTGGCGCACGCCTTTAATCCCAGCACTCGGGAGGCAGAGGCAGGCGGATCTCTGTGAGTTCAGACCAGCCTGGTCTACAGAGCTAGTTCCAGAACAGGCTCCAAAGCCACAGAGAAACCTTGTCTCGAAAAACAAAAAAAAAAAAAAAAAAAAATAAGAGTGTGGGAGATAGAAGTATTCCTGAAAGTTCTTTCATTGTGTACTCTTAATTGTATCTCATTTGCCTTGAATACTGACCTCAGGGCAAGAATTTACAGGGTTTTTATTTTAACCTTTGAAGCAATCATAGTTTGATAAGAAGTTGGGAAAATAATACAAAGGACCTTGTAGCCTTCACACAGTTTCCCTCGGTGATTGCATCTTACATTTTTACTTTGTAGTACAAAGCCAGGCAGTTGTTCTTAGTATGTTACTGTGAACTAGACTACAAACTGTATTCAGTTTTTACAACTAAGTAATTTATACCAGTGGATGTGAAGCCACAACTGTAATTTTATGTGAGCAAACTCTTATTTATGCATGTTGTGGCTGAAACATTGGCTTTTTGTCCTAAACTTAAGAGTTTTGGTTTCTTTCTCCCATCACAATGTTATTTCTCACTATTAGAGATAAGTAGTTCTTGGAGTGGAGAGGTAGCTCAGTTCGTAAAGTGCTTGCTACCCAAGCACAAGCATGAGCAGCCAAGTTCAAACCTTAGAACCCACCTGAAAAGTTGGGTGTGGTGGCACACTCTAGTAATCTTATTGGGGGAGGTGGAGACAGGATGATCCTTGGAGCCTGCTGACCAGCCAGCCTAACCTAATCAGTGAGCCCCAGGTCCCAGTGAGATACCCAGTCTCAAATCCTAGTTAAATGGCCATCCTAAGGATTTACCCTTGAGGTTGGTTTGAACTTCTTGCTCATGACTGCACTCATGTGCACACATATGCATATGAGAAAGAGAAAGGAAGGTAGTTGTGAAATAGGGGAGTCTTGCCTGCCTCTACTTTTTTTTTGTCAGTTTCTGTAGGCATTTTATGTTGACAAAACATTTGAAAGTAGTATGCCACAGTCATTTAGTGCTTAGAGATCAGAGATGCTCCTGAACATCCCATAATGATGCACAGGGCATCTTTCTCTTTTTGAGAGAGCACTTTGGCTGAAAAATTCCATGTAATGCTAAGGCTGAGAAACCCTGCCACAAAGGACAATGAGGAGACAGGACACAGGCAAACAATGGTGTTTGATCTTCAGCACCTCCTCCCTTCCCTCAGCCCAGTTTTGTTGTTCTTTTTTTTTTTTTATGAGGGTAGCTGTTTTTTTTTTCTTGGGTTTTAGAAAAAAGTTCACTTACAATGAGTTTCTCCAAATTTTTTCTTACAGGTTCTGAAAAATACCTGGCAACAAATCTGGAAATAGTAATTCCTTAACATTGCTGAAATGTTGAAAACATGGTGACTTCTGCATAAAATTGGTGCCAGGTGGAGGACTCGCATGACCATTTCTCCAAACGAAAGCAGTTCATTTTGTTGTCTTAGTTTGTATATTTTCTGTGATGTTAAATAAACTCTGAACACAATCTTAGCATACTGAAAATTGATATATATATATATATATATATATATAGAGAGAGAGAGAGAGACCCTTTTGCTTTGAAGAAGCTAAATGCAAAAGCTTAGATATATTTTCTACTCTTGCTGCAGCATTTGTCCTTTCATCTTATATTGCCATAGCTCTATTCTTATGTTAGCATAAACATTTATTCTTCTTAGTGATACTTGAGTATTTCTTGGAAGCAGTGTCTTCAGGAACTTTGTTGTGTTTGCTTTTAGCGAGGTAATAAGACTTTGCCCTTTGCAGGGTGGTGGTGGTGCACACCTTTAATCCCAGCACTCGGGAGACAGAGGCAGGCGGATCTCTGTGAGACCAGCCTGGTCTACAAGAGCTAGTTCCAGGACAGGCTCCAAAGCTACAGAGAAGCCCTGTCTCGAAAAAAGAAAGAAAAAAAAAAGACTTTGCCCTTTGAAAACTTTCTAGGGTCTCTTGAGTTTTCTGGGAGAAAAGAAGCAAGTGTTTAAAGCTGTAAAATAGTCAGAAGGCCATCAAGCAAAGAGCATACCACAGTAATGTGTTTGGTTTAAGAAAATTCAATTATCCAAATGTTTTTGGTCAGTAGCAGGTCTGAACATACGCCGTTCTGAGTTAAGATAAAGATTGTTTTGGCACTGGTTTGAGTGTGTGTCAACAACCCGGAGAGACTGTTGTAGAGCTCTTCTGTCTAGGTAGCCAACTTTACAGTTTACAAAGCCACTGGTTTTCCACATGTTCAAATTTAATAGGAAAATCAAGTGAGAAAATATATTTTATCCCAGTTTTTAGAAAATTGCAAAGCTTTCAGCCCTATCCACTAACTAAACTCATTCCAAGAACTTAAAACAGAAAACCGTAAAACTTTTACATTTTCAAGTCTTTTAAGAGGACCAAGTATAGAACACGGGAAGGCCCTGTTATGGTTGCCTGTTTTTTCCTAAGTACTACCTACTTGGAAGGTTATTAGTGCCATTAGCCTGTGCTAACCAACAGACCACCATGTCTTCTGTTCTCCCATAGTGCCATTAAGGAGGAGCACGGTTTCTTTCCACCAGGTTAACCTCAAGACATTTGAAGAGTTGCCTTAATAATTAGTAAAGTTTACTAGAACTAATCGTGAGCTTATTTATATTCTCAGAACCCTACTCTCTGTGTTAGGATTATGGCCAGGTGAATTAAAATCATTACTAGGCACATAAAGCACATTGCTTACATGCCAAATAAAAGAACGCAAAGATATTAAAATTGAGGGATTTTCTCCATATATTTACAATGAAAATTTGTTGTATATGTCATCAAGAAAAGTGCAAAACAGCAAGCACTCCCTGCCTATTCCACTTATACCACAGGTTCAACTTTGATATTAATTATGCATGTAGCTCCTTGTTTTCACATCACCTTCTGTGTCTCCTACATAAATAATAAGTCAATAATGTGATGATTTTAGCAGCTGTTATGACTTAAAAGCACCAATATATTTAGACATATATAGAGACCATGAGAAAAGTATTTCTAGTTAGGAACTTGGGTTTTACACAAGCAATTTCCAATCAAGATTACTGAGGCTGAAGTTATTTGGTAAGCAGTTGTCTAGTAGAAACCATATCCTGAAAATCCTAGTGTGCATTTTCCCAAGGCCTCATTAAACTTAATATGGTTAGCAAACATTTAGGTGAATAAATTGACATGAGCAGTGGCATCCCAATTCATCCCTATGGATGTGTGTTTTCTGCTATAATTAGTACACTTAGCTACCCCAAGTTTGTGACCTGTCTCTTATGTTGAGATTAGTGACTAAAAATGATCCTGCTAATCTTTCAAGCTATAGCTTCCTAAGTAGTAGGAAATGTAAATTTGTTCACTCTTGGTAGAAAATAAGTGGTCTAGATTCAGTGTGCTAAATCTGTGAATTCAACAGTCTGAGTACAATGAAGTGTGGGGTTTTTCGCCCTCTGAGGAGGCTGGGGCTTCTGTTTCTTGTAATTCACCATAACTAACATCCCAAAGCCAGTGTGGTTATTGTCCTGGTTGATAGGAAAAATAGACATTTAGTGAATGATTCCTCAGTAAATAAGACCTGGAAAATAGTCAAAATTATAAAAATCTTTATTTTTTTATACGAGACATTCAAAAACTCCTGTAACAAAAGTAGTAGAGAGCTGCTGTTGAATTAAGTTATTCCATGATGGAGGCCAGACCTTCCCATTTAATTCAAACAATACAAAATGGCAGTATAGGTTTCTAATTCTAATTCAAATTTGATTGGTTAATATACTTCAGATGGAAATTCTAGGGAAAGTAAGCAAAATTGTTCAATAAGCAAAGATGAAACTTTCAGTTTTTCTTGACAAAACAAAGTGTAAACTGTTGGTCACACTGGATAAGATTGTGTTTAACAATGTACCTAGTAAGTATGATATGGGAGTGGGAATCTTGGTAATTTTATGTTGTTTATTTATGATTATTGTTTTGTCTTGGATTCAATAAATATTTTAAAAGTCACCCTACTTAAAAATCTTTTGTGAGAGACAAGTGGGAGGGGAGATTATGAACCAAGTTCAGGAATCAACTAAAACACCGGGGGTTAGATTGTGCAAGTGTCAACCAGCAAAGCTCAGCTTAAGTCAGGTTTCCCAGGATTTACAACTATCCTACAAAACCCAATTCATGTGCTTTGAAGTTACTGTGGCTTATGCAGCTCTTGGGTTGGCAAAGCTCAATTATGGTGAAGTTGAATGCAAGCTTTTAAAAGGAGGGAGGGAAGTCCTTGTGAGGCACAGTATTATCTAGTAGCTGACTGCAAGGTGGGAAAGTGGGCTACTGTGCTGCTTTCTGTAATTCAGAAAGTTTCTTTGTTGAAGTAGAATTGAACCTTCCTAGGATCAAGACTTGAGTATCGCTGACAGCATTTGCGCAGGCTCTTTGCCAAAGTCCGAGGGCCGCATAAGAAAACCCCGACTACAGACCTGTAGGAATAGAGCAACAGTAATTACCCAGATGCAATGAAAGCTGTTAGCGGAAATGGAGAACAGCCTCTGCTACTCCCAGCAATGTCGAGCTGTGTGTGACTGGGTCCATCATCATTCTGTCCTTTGCTGGGGTGCACATGGCCCCCACCATTCTCTGAGGAGCTATTAGTAACGGTTGCTGAGGGAAAGAGTCATTTTCACCGTTTTCTTCAGTCCTATAGCTACTGGAAACTTGCTAATGCTGGAAGTAGCCCTAATTAAACTTACTAGGTCACCAAAAAGGGAGGAAAAAGAACCCATGAAAGTGGAAGAGGGATGAGTATCAGCAGGAGTGGGAGGGGCACGAGATAGGACGTGAATAGGATTGAAATTCAAGTGATCGGCCCTAAAACCACACATAAAGTTAACATTAAACTGAGCAGGTGGTATTTATATAAATTATTTTAGGAAAAAATGTATTTCCATATATGTGTGTATATATACGCTTATATACACACATATATGGAAATATATATAGCCATGAATTTGAGGTGGAAGGAATTGGGGGAGGAAATAATGTACTTACTTTAACTCCAAAAAATAAAAATATTTGAAATACATTATATACATGTACGAAAATATAATGAAGCTGGGTGGTGGTGGCACACGCCTTTAATCTTAGCACTTGGGAGGCAGAGACAGGCAGATCTCTGTGAGTTTGAGGCCAGCCTGGTTGACAAGAGCTAGTTCCGGGACAGGATCCAAAACTACAGAGAAACCCTGTCTCGAAAAAACAAAAAAAAAAAAAGAGAGAGAAAGAAAATATAATGAAACCCATTGTATATAATTAATATGTTCTGATTTAAAAAACTTAAATTCAGTTGTTGAAATCCTCCTTCCAAGAAAATTTTTTCTTAACATTTTGTTTCCAAGTCCTAAGTATGCTCTCAGCCTTCCCCCATTTTATTGAGACACAAGATACTGTGCAATACTGCTGTTAAATGTTAGGCTTTGGGGCAGGGGCAGGAGAAAAAGGAGAAATTAAGAGGACGATCAGGGAGAGATCTGGTTTGTCTTTCATGCTAAGTGAAGAGACCTCAACCCAGATGATAAAACCAAAATGCCCTACCGAGATAATGCAAGTTTTTTTCTAAAGACAAGTCAAACAAGAATGTTAATTAAATCGATGAACTGTACTTACTCAGGCCTAGAGCATCACCCTGAGTTTTGCCATAAAGGCTTCCCTATCTCATACTTCACAAAAGCACCTGACAACTTCGTTCACAAAAGAACAACACTTAAGTAAAGAAACTTTTATTTATTTTTAACTCCTCTGAATTTTAAGCTTTGTTTCCGTATTAAACCATGTAAAGTATACCCTTTGGGGAATGTTAAACCCAATGACAGGATTATACATTGTCATTGTGAAAGTACATAGATGCAACTCTCTTAAGAAGCCTGTGTCCACAAAGACCCAACCAAGAAAGAGAACTACAGGCCTATCTCACTCATGAATATCGACGCAAAAATTCTTAATAAAATACTGGCAAACCGAATTCAAGAACACATTAGAAAAATTATCCATTATAATCAAGTAGGCTTCATCCCAGAGATGCAGGGCTGGTTCAACATACGCAAATCTATCAATGTAATCCACCATATAAATA